CCTGTCTCGGTCATTTAGGGCCTGTGGACGCCCGGTATGGTGTCTGTTGTGGACTGTGACACCCTCATTCACCCATTCTCGGTAAACTCTCGACACGGTTGACCTTGGGAAGCCGAATTCCTGAACCACTTCCGAAATGGAATGTTCCATGAGTCGGGCACCCACAACCATGCCGCGTTCGAATGCCGTCAACTCACGACGACGTTGCATTTTACCTGATCACTCACACAGACACTTCAAGCAATGTCTAACACACAACTGAGACCGTCGCGGAGGCCACCAGGTGGCGTTGGTCACACGTGCTGTCCATCCACAAATCAGAGCCCTGCTATCCCATGAGTTTTGCTCAGTCAGTGTATTATGTATCATTTCTATTTTTTTTAAAAGTTTTACAATTAAATTTTTTGCATAAATGCTATTTAATATTCAGATTCCAAATTCTCTACTGATTTGGCAGAAGATTGTATCAATAGCTTTGTGTTCCAGTGAAACTAAAAGCAATTTCAAACATTGGAGATTGAAGGTAAAGCAATTTTTTTAAAGTAAAATGAGGAACATTGATAAAATTTTATCATAGTATATCAAAATTTTAAATCTAATTATTAATTTGTATGGATATAATATGTAAGAAATGATGTTTGAATATATGAGTTAAATAATTGTGAGCAAAATTTTATTAATTCGCTTAAATCAGGATTTTATTTTCCTAAACTAACCAACCCAATTTTTTGAAAGGAAAAATTCTTTTTAATAATTACTTTTCGGTTAAAAATTAATTATTAAAATTTAATTTTCTACTATTTGAATCCTTTTTAGTTTAAGTATAAAACCAAATAAAAAAAATTAATACATTTTTCGGAACTTTTTAATTTTGAGTTACTATCGAATGTGAGTCTTTATTACTGCAAATAAACAGCAATATTTCATTTTTAAAAGATTACTTATCATAGCGCTTCTGCAAAAATGTATACAGGTTGTTCTGAAAAGATTGCCCTTATAATGTATTTCCAAAATCCTTTTCAAAAATGAAAACAAAAAGGTATACTCATGGTGAGTCTCTTTTTAATATTTGACCGAGGAGAGAGCGAAAAGGCTACCGAAATCAGACTAGCTACAGCTCAAGAGCGTTTTCGCTTTTTCCTCCTTCATTTGCAACTCACCATGAGTATTATTTTATGTTTTCGTATTTTGACCCCTTCCTTCTCGCTCCCGTGAAAATGACGGGGTGAGGTTTCGCCCTCTATTTCTCGCTCCCGTGAAATTTCTGGGCTGGAGTGTTCAGTAGTAACGCGCCAAAAAGAATAAAATTAATCCTTACTCTTACCCGGAAAGCATTTTATTTCTCATTTTACACACCAGATGGCAGTACCAAAATATTTTTAAGGTCATTGTAGATAGTTTGTTTATTTTAAACTAGATGTCAGCACTAATCAAATACGTGTATTTGGCAAAATAGGCACTTTTATGACCGTTTTCTTAAAAATTAGCCGATCGTTAAGGGGTTGAAAAAAGATTTTAGATATACTTATTAAGAGCCTTTAGGAACATCCTGTTTATGATATAAATTAATATGGGAAAATTTATTGTTAAGTCTTCATGTCCTATTTTAAGTCTTATCTCAAAATGTTTTTATTAAAACAAAACAGACCCTGTTTCTATGATAGTTTTCAAAATTTTTAAATAGTGTAATTAAAATTATAGGACGAGTTAACATCAAAAGTTTCTCTGTTTCTTTTTTATCCTTTTAAATAGTATATTATGATTGCTAGACTCAAATGCATAAGCGGGAATGAAGTACCTATGCAGTATTTTTATTTATGATTCCAATATTATCAAAGCACAGTGTACATTTAAAAGAACATTTTAGCAAAAATATTCAAATTAAATTTAAAATATTATCAGTGTATCTTATATTATTCAATAATGTATAATTTATGAACATAGCCTAGTAATTGTAGTAAAAAACGTGGTGAAAACAAGGGTATAGCAAAGAAGGGATGTTAAAATTCAATCGCAGTCAAAATCATTTTTCCGTCCTTTTATATTATTTGAAATAATGCAATTATTGAAATAATGTAATTTCTTTATCTTACATTATAATTTTGTTAAAAAAATAATGTAAGTTTTTCTCGTGTACTTCTAGGAATTCCACCTGAATTGGGAAGAATTTCTCAATGTGGCAATGGAAAAAAGAATCTCGCCATCGAAGCATAAAATAGAGTCCTCTTTAGACTTAAATGTATTATATGTTTTTTTTTTAATATAAAATTGTTAGATTTTGTAATTTTATTAACTAAGATTTATGATTAATTGTAATTAAATATGATTCGTCTTATAACCACGTATAAATGATGAAATAACATTTCAAGAGAACCATTTAAATTTCCTGTCTAAAATTCAATAAATTGAATACCAGACAAATGAAATTTACTGTGAAATTTATTAGAGAAACTAATGATTTATATTTTCTATAAGAAATCAGGTAAAATTAGTAAACATACTTTTCACAACTTGCAAATTATTTTTGCAAGATATGTGAGAAATGAAAAAGTTTATGTTTATGCATTCATTTATAGATACGGCGTTCTTTAATGAACCCTGAATTGACGTTTCTTAAAGTCCTTGTTTAAAAAGAAATCGAAAAAATTCGTGTTTCAGGAGTCTCAAATAAATATTTAAGACAGGAAAAAATAAAACAGCTGTCTTAATAGTCGGAAGTCTAAAATTTATTTGCTATTGGAAACAGAGAAGAGTATTAGAAATACCTCCACGCTTCATTAAGCAATGAAACTTTTTTTTGTCTTTCATCCTGAAAAGTGATTCGACACATTTCAAAAAATTTTTTCCTCTCTTAAATATTAATTAGAAGCCTCTAATGTGAAAATTTTTCGATTTCCTTTTTGACGAAGATTCTAAATACATATATAATGAGCAATTATAGAAAAGATAAATCAAGAAGATAAAAGAAGACGATGTTTAAAATGCACAATTTTGCTTGCTGAAACAATGGGATGCCTGCAAGTGATGTAGTGTGGGTATCTCGATCCTGATTGGCTGTTGAAACGGGACATTTGTTAACGTTAGCAACTGTCCCATTTCGAGTAAGGCCATCCCATCAAATATCAATTCTCTTGAGCGGCACATTCAATATTCTAACACGAAGATTCTTCCACAAAGACTTTAATTCTTTCACTATATGTTTCTTACTTCAGACAAAGACGGCCACAAAGCCATGTAGAATATAAAGAAACTAAATATGCATCGAAGTTTCCAGGTACAGTCCGCAAAAAAAAAAAAAGATATCACCCTGAATAACTTTCGTTCTAATGATCGGATTTTCACGAACTAAGTGTTAATCTTAATGGTTCCTGGGGGTGACCTCAAATATGCTAATTAATTAGTGCTAACTATTAATTAAGTTACGAAATCAGACACAAAAACGTACTTTCTCTGAATAAACATATATTTTTTCTTACATATTTGGATTCTTAACCTTCAAAATATAGG